TATATAAAAATATATAAAGATATATTTAATTTAATAATTAATAAATTAAATATTATTTTTTTTAAATTATTAACCTGTGCACCTGAGCACGGATTAAAAACACCCTTAAAATAAAACAAAAGAGCAAGAGTTATTAACAGACAACATTGATTTGTTTTTACCATCATAGATTAGCCGTAAAGTCAAAAGAAACCTGAAGAAATTTGGTACACTAATAAGTTACTACAGAGATGAGCTGCTGAGATGTGTAATGATGGTACCAATTTATGGGTGTTCGTGAGGGCAGATAGTATTTATTGAGGAATGCTAGCTGCACTCGCCTTTGTCCAGAACTCTCCAACACTCCTTCATCTAAAATAGCCACGTGAACTTTTCTAGTTTGGAAACTTTGAATTGCGAGTCAAAGTTTGTTACGTGGACATTTTACATGACAGAGTGTTGGAGAGTGCAGGAGAAAGGCGAGTTCAGCTAGCATTCCTCATTTTTTTTTATACTGACACTGGGGCTACGTGTACGTTGGTTCACGTCGAGCGCCGAGCCGAGTTTTGTGATCGGGTCATTCTGTAAGCAGGAAAGAAAGATGGCCGGAGCGTACGTGTCGTTTGATTGTTAGTGCTGTGGACAGTGAAACAGTGCACACCCGTGAGCTGATTCTGTGCGGCATTTGTCTTGAGATGAAAATATTTCTTTTTTTTTTTTATTTGGCCAATCAATATTTCTACTTTTTTTTGCCGCCAAATATGTTTAACCTTTTTTAATCTCTAATATTCCTTTCAACAATATTTTACTATTAGTTTTACTCAAAAAAATATTTTATTATTTGCCATATGCTTCAAGAAAAAAATACAAAAGTATTAGAATCAATCTTTAATTTTCAAAGATACCCAAAACAATCTTAAATTTTTAAAAAATTTATAAATAATTTTCTTACTAATTAAACTTGAGAAGCCTTTTTTTCTTAATAAAAATACCTGGAGACGCGTAAAGAATCTTGAAAGGACAAATATCTCCCGTATTCTTTAATTAAATTCTCTGTAATGGAACGCGTAATTTAAGTTTGGTCGTTGGTCTTCCAATTTTAATATTTAAATTTTGTGGATTGAGAATTTAATTTTTATTAATTATTTTAAAAAAAAATTTTCTCAGAATTTTTTATGTTAAAAAAATATTCTGTAATCAAATATTAGT